ACTACTGCGTTGTTCTGATCTGCTCCTTTGCAAAGTAGAGCTATGGGTAAATTCTTCAGTTTCCAGTACGCTGCTGTCTTGCGTTTTTTAAAATTAAGCAACGGATCGATACTTATGCAGTAGCAAGTAGTCAGCGAGAAAGGGGTCAAGGGCAAAGCCTTTTCTAACTGATGAATTGTTATCCTGAACTTCAATTCTCAAGGGCAAATTCTGACTGATGAATTGTTATCCTGAACCTCAATTAAGTATTGCGGCGCTTTATGTATACCGGTTGAATAACCATTTGCATTTAAATTTATTTAAAATGAGAAACCAAGCTCTAAATAATAACTACATGGCATTATAAATATGGACCTTCTTCAAGAATGGTGACTAATATTAGAGATTGTCTCATAAAAAGCTGTTTGGATGTATAACATTTGTTTCCAAATTCTTTTCTAGGTTTGAATAATTTGCTTTGAAAGGCTAGCTTAAACCTAGATTTACATTTGTAAATAATTGTTATCCTTAACGCAAGCTAGTAGCAGCAGAGTATACATTTTCGATACAATGTTCGGTTGTTTGCTATGTCACATCCGATCACCGTCTTCTTTCACTTAGAAAGGATAAATCTAGAATTATGTGTTCTTCAAAATTTGTCTGAGCAACAGAAGTTGGCTTGTTACGACAAAGTGCGTTCACTTATTTGTTTTCCCTTTCGTTTTTCATAATTTTTCGGTAGAACATTGTTTGACCATAAGTGAACAGGTCACGCTTATTTACATATGACTTTTTAGTTCCACATCCAAGCAAGCTCTGCTGCTCATCAAGTAAACAGATTCGTGCTAGCCCAGTGGAGATGTGACATAACTGAAAGAAGACAGCGCACAATAAGGCAAAGATAGAACGGGCGTACAAAAACTTGCGGATGGTAAGAACAGGTTGCAGTAAAGAAGATGTGGGAAACTTCTCATGATGCTAGGAGATCGCACAGCACTGTGTCCTGTGTTTCATAGTCCTAGCCCAAAAGTACTTGTTGGTTTAATAAGTTTAAGTAGTAATAAGTTTCACCTCGTTCATCATACTCACTGACCTGTTATCATCAAGCTTCGCAAGCTGCTTCTTACT